ACTATTATATATAAGTACACCTACACAGTTTCTAATGTGACTCTTACTTGAATACTAAAGTTTAAAACCTAAGTTATCAATCTCATTAGTCGTTTCTCCAACCCATTTAGTTTCTTGAATACCTAAGATATATAACTTTTTATGAATATTGATATCAACTAATTCCATTAATTTACTTGTGAGAGTACATATATTCCAAGATCATATCCTAATATTAATTTTATGGGCTAACATCTTTACATGCATTGCATCAGTAATGTGGGAACCCTTGCTTATTGACACTATACCCGGGACGCCGATGTAGCGGCCCTTGCACACTTTTCATTATATTAATGTCATACAACGTGTTGGTTACAGTGGATGCCCTAACATTCACATAATGATCAAAGGATTCTTGCCATGATTTTTCAACAAATTTTTCGTTGGCTGTCGACTCCCTAATACAACCCTCCACTTTTCACATATAGGGCTTGGAGACATTTATATATCCTCGAAACATGTAACCAGATAAGCTAAAATTAAAGCATATATAAATAAGTAAAGTTGATCTTGCATCAATGCTAACTTGAGTTTAGCTCCCCACTAATTAACATGCTCAAACTCAAGATCAAGCTTAAGTCAAGCTCATGCAAAAAACTTAAGTGTTACTTGTTAGAAAAATAGTGAGCTTGAGCTTGAATCTTGACTCAATCAATAATTGCAAAGAAACTTGACTTAGGAAGTGGAGGAAAATGACGAAAGTTCATTGGATAATGCAATAGTGGTGTTGTGAAAAGTGGCCTCAGAAGCTTGCTAGAGCATGCATCAATGGGAAAAGTGATAAACTAGTACAAAATTCATAATAGGACTTTGTTAAAGAAGGTATTGAAGTTCGACGAGAAAGCCACAATGGTAGTTCGCTAGAGAAGGCATCGATGGGGCCTACATTGAAGAAATCATCAATGGGTCTAGTATTTGAAAAGACATCGATGGGCTCTACATTTTTATAAGAGAATGAAGTTCTGAGACTTGAAATTATCTGTTAAATTAAGAGAAAAAATATAAAAAATAAAAAAAAATCCCTAGATTTAGCCATGTATGGTTTCTAATCGAGCTAGCTTGCAAGCTAATGAGTCGAGTTTCCTTAAGCTTAAACTTGAGCTAGTTAAATATAAGAGCTCGAGTTTGACTTTAAGATCAATGTCATGGATTTACTATTCTTCAAGTAGCATGCATCCCTATCACATACAAATTGCTAAGTTGTACTTATTACTCACTCTCATAAGAAGCTAGCTAATAATGAGATTATGGAATGGCCAAAGTGAGAATGTGGAGAAAAAAAATGTTACTAAATATGAGCTTTCATAAGACTAGGACTCGCTTTCAACTTCTTAACAAAATGAAGGGGTTCTTTCTCCATTTATAGTACAAAAATACCACTTCAAGAATATTATAGAACTCTATGGAATATTTCTTATTTTAGAGACTTCTATAAATTACATGGCAGTCATGATTGTCCTAGAATATTATTAAAGACTGCACTCGGTTGTGGAACAAGGGGGGCTATGGGAGGCCTACATTGAAGAAAGCATCATTGGGTCTAGTACTTGAAAAGACACCGATGGGCCCTACATTTTTATAAGAGAGTGGAGTTCTGAGACTGGAAATTATCTGCTAAATTAAGAGCAAAAATATTAAAAATAAAAAAATCCCTAGATTTAGCCATGTATGGTTTCTAATCGGGCTAGCTTGCAAGCTAATGAGTCGAGTCTCCTTAAGCTTAAACTTGAGCTAGTTAAATATAAGAGCTCGAGTTTGGCTTTAAGATCAATGTCATGGATTTACTATTCTTCAAGTAGCATGCATCCCTATCACATACAAATTGCTAAGTTGTACTTATTACTCACTCTCATAAGAAGCTAGCTAATAATGAGATTATGGAATGGCCAAAGTGAGAATGTGGAGAAAAAGCTTTCATAAGACTAGGACTCGCTTTCAACTTCTTAACAAAATGAAGGGGTTCTTTCTCCATTTATAGTACAAAAATACCACTTCAAGAATATTATAGAACTCTATGGAATATTTCTTATTTTAGAGACTTCTATAAATTACATGGCAGTCATGATTGTCCTAGAATATTATTAAAGACTGCACTCGGTTGTGGAACAAGGGGGGCTATGGGAGGCCTACATTGAAGAAAGCATCATTGGGTCTAGTACTTGAAAAGACACCGATGGGCCCTACATTTTTATAAGAGAGTGGAGTTCTGAGACTGGAAATTATCTGCTAAATTAAGAGCAAAAATATTAAAAATAAAAAAATCCCTAGATTTAGCCATGTATGGTTTCTAATCGGGCTAGCTTGCAAGCTAATGAGTCGAGTCTCCTTAAGCTTAAACTTGAGCTAGTTAAATATAAGAGCTCGAGTTTGGCTTTAAGATCAATGTCATGGATTTACTATTCTTCAAGTAGCATGCATCCCTATCACATACAAATTGCTAAGTTGTACTTATTACTCACTTTCATAAGTAGCTAGCTAATAATGAGATTATGGAATGGCTAAAGTGAGAATGTGGAGAAAAAAAATGTTACTAAATATGAGCTTTCATAAGACTAAGACTCGCTTTCAACTTCTTAACAAAATGAAGGGGTTCTTTCTCCATTTATAGTACAAAAAATACCACTTCAAGAATATTATAGAACTCTACGAAATATTTCTTATTTTAGAGACTTCTATAAATTACGTGGCAGTCATGATTGTCCTAGAATATTATTAAAGACCGCACTCGGTTGTGGAACAAGGGGGGCTATGGGAGGCCTACATTGAAGAAAGCATCATTGGGTCTAGTACTTGAAAAGACACCGATGGGCCCTACATTTTTATAAGAGAGTGGAGTTCTGAGACTGGAAATTATCTGCTAAATTAAGAGCAAAAATATTAAAAATAAAAAAATCCCTAGATTTAGCCATGTATGGTTTCTAATCGGGCTAGCTTGCAAGCTAATGAGTCGAGTCTCCTTAAGCTTAAACTTGAGCTAGTTAAATATAAGAGCTCGAGTTTGGCTTTAAGATCAATGTCATGGATTTACTATTCTTCAAGTAGCATGCATCCCTATCACATACAAATTGCTAAGTTGTATTTATTACTCACTCTCATAAGAAGCTAGCTAATAATGAGATTATGGAATGGCCAAAGTGAGAATGTGGAGAAAAAAAATGTTACTAAATATGAGCTTTCATAAGACTAAGACTCGCTTTCAACTTCTTAACAAAATGAAGGGGTTCTTTCTCCATTTATAGTACAAAAAATACCACTTCAAGAATATTATAGAACTCTACGAAATATTTCTTATTTTAGAGACTTCTATAAATTACGTGGCAGTCATGATTGTCCTAGAATATTATTAAAGACCGCACTCGGTTGTGGAACAAGGGGGGCTATGGGAGGCCTACATTGAAGAAAGCATCACTGGGTCTAGCATTTGAAAAGACACCGATGGGCCCTACATTTTTATAAGAGAATGTAGTTCTGAGACTGGAAATTATCTGCTAAATTAAGAGCAAAAATATAAAAAATAAAAAAAATCCCTAGATTTAGCCATGTATGGTTTCTAATCGGGCTAGCTTGCAAGCTAATGAGTCGAGTCTCCTTAAGCTTAAACTTGAGCTAGTTAAATATAAGAGCTCGAGTTTGGCTTTAAGATCAATGTCATGGATTTACTATTCTTCAAGTAGCATGCATCCCTATCACATACAAATTGCTAAGTTGTACTTATTACTCACTTTCATAAGTAGCTAGCTAATAATGAGATTATGGAATGGCTAAAGTGAGAATGTGGAGAAAAACTTTGTTACTAAATATGAGCTTTTATAAGACTAAGACTCGCTTTCAACTTCTTAACAAAATGAAGGGGTTCTTTCTCCATTTATAGTACAAAAATACCACTTCAAGAATATTATAGAACTCTACGAAATATTTCTTATTTTAGAGACTTCTATAAATTACGTGGCAGTCATGATTGTCCTAGAATATTATTAAGGACTACACTCAGTTGTGGAACAAGGGGGTCTATGGGAGGCAATCAAACCCCGTCTTTATTATCATATAATACATTAAAATTTTGCTTCCTAAACTTAAATACTAAAAAAAATTTAACGAATATGTATTTTAATTTAATAAAGATTTTATAATTAACAAATGAACATTCATCTTTCAATCATGAAAATTATTATGACAAAATAATAAAAGTAAATAAAATATTATTTTCCTATTAGTTCACTGAAAATATTCATTAAAAGTGATGTTATGATTATTTTTGATGTGGAATCAATTATTGATAATTTCAATGTAATGAAGAAATATTAATATAATTTAATACATGTATTAAAAAAATATAAATTTTATATTAAAACTTATCCTTAACTTTTTTTTTGTAATTTTATCTTATTTATTTATTTATAAAAAATTAAAAATTATTTGATGCATTTTAGTTGATTTTTTATTTTATCTCCCCTTCTTTAAACTCTATTTCTTTCACTGAATATACTAGAATATATGACTAGATATTTCTCTTTACCCTACAAATTTCTTAAATGTCTATACTTTCTGAAGAGATCTAAAAACTTCTAAATTATTACTGAAATATCCAAAATTTTTTAGCAAATTATAGAAATTTATTAATATTTTTAAAATAATCAAATTTTTTCAAGGTCTTCCATAAATTTTCTGAAACAAATCTAAGTAAATGCATAATATTTCAAAAATCTTTTTGAATATTATGGCTCCACTAGAAGATGATTTTAGAAGGTCAAAACCAAGCAAATATGATAAACCCCATTAATTATTTATGGGACATAATATTGAGCTCACTAATGAGTAAGTTAAAATCATCAACTTGGCTTCCTCATTTATATCCCTAGCTGAAAATAGTGTAGTGTTAGGTTCCAATATTATTTTTTGAATATAATACAAAGTTATCTATATATAAGCTCCTCGACTCCCCAAAATGAGTAAATTAAAGTGGTACTTATCGATTCTCGGGCTCCTGTGTCGCGCTTGCCGGAGTTTAATGGCCGGACTTCTCGTCTCCTGCTCATCTCCCCTCTTCGGGTCTCTGCGCTGCCGTATTTCTTCTCGCAAATGCTTCCGGGTTTCCGCCGAGCTCAGTGAGAGCTCTGCTTCATCCCACACATTCGCCGCAGCAGAAGATGAGGGTGGAAGCTCGTCATCCTCATCGACGTCTTCTTCTTCTCCGCCGCTTTTGTTCTCGCCTCCTGATGGCTTCAAGCCGCCGCAGCCAAAGCCGTTTTCCGTACGCCCCGATAGGTTTCTTGACATTCTGGGAGCTTCTCTCGCGCTGCCCTTTCGTCTCGGCACTGGTGCTTTCGTTCAAGGGTTGCATACTGTCTACTTTGCGCTCATTATATCGTTTGGTGCATTTGTTTTTTTTTCCAACTTTTTTCGGGATGCAAAACAATTGAATTGTTGAATAAGAACGTCAGGTAGCTTAAAATCTTGCTTTATGTGTGAGAAGGAAATGCAAGGACAGGAACATTGTTGTGCTTGATATTGCTATTCTTACTTTATTTCAATAGTTTCTAGGTTTCTGCTTGTTAATGATTCTAATTGCTTAAGAAACTATTTGTGATTTTCATGGTATATTGTTTTGATGGATGCAGAATTTAGAACATATATTGTTCATTATTGTAAAGTATATTCAATAATTTTTATTTATATATAACACACACACACATACAGATATCTATATATATATATATATTTGTGTATATTATTTTTTAGCTCTTTCCTAGCTGAACATCGTGGAGCGGACTCTCATTTCTGTTAGGTTCATTTATTAAACAAATTGAAAAATATTGATTAAATTTGACTTTCTAGTTTAGTAGTTTAGTAGAACATGAACAAATATCAAGACAAACATGAGCTATTTATGAACATTGATCTTTTTTAATAGCCTCTTGTTGGTTGATTGGCCATCTTTGAACAACAAAAGTAGTTTTAGGATTCTTAAAAATAATCTATGAGTGAAAGTTTAGTTGTATGAAAGTTATTTTAAAATTAGATAAGGATATTATATTTTTATTTCATGGAAATAATATTAATATTCGATTAAACTATTTAATCAACTCATATCAATGTAACAATAGTATTTTACCAAGCTATGATGGCTCTTATATCATTTTAGATAACGATCTTAACAAGATTTTGCAAAGAATTATCTTCTTTACTCAGGAACGCAACATAACATAGCACAATGTAACACAAGAAATTACTAAGTGGGGAGTTTAATTTCATTAACTTTACTTGGATAGGTTAAAATCTTGATATTTGGAGATTGGTTGCTATAAATTAAAACTCATTCAGACTTATTTTTCATATTGGTGGCCATAAAACTCAGTTCACTTTTTATTTTTGAAAATGGTCATTGACCTAACTTATGGTTAATTAATTCACATTTATTTTTTTAATAGTGATTATCAAATTTAAGTTTTTATAAATTCAAGCTTGCTAAATATCATGTCTAAGCATTATATACAACAACAACAACGACAAACCTTTATCCCAGTAAGTGGGGTCGGCAACATAAATCCTTTTTCTCCATTGTGTCCTATCGAGTACCATATTTTCATTTAATTCTAATAAATTAAGATAATTTTTGTATACAACATGCCCAGGTCTATTTAGGTACACTTCTATCTTTCTTAACATAAGTCAAATCTAAAACATCTACTAAGCATTATATAAAAAGATTATTTCATTATATTGAAATATCTCATAACAAGAAGTAACAAAAAGAAGAGAAGAAAATGAAAAGAGAGATGATGGATGCGATCTAAGGAAAAAGGAAGAGATTTTATGTGTTCTTGCAATTGTAGTTTTTCTAGTTCTTTAAGAAGAAATAGATGTTACTATTTTTGGTCTCAGTAAGAAAAGAATCTCGTGGTTATAATAAGGAATACTTCTAATTTAGACAGTTGTAATAGAGAGTTGAAAAGAGTAATTGGAGCAATAACATCTCCTTCTTCATATTTAGCTTTCATCTTTGCATTTGCTGGCTATATTTTCTCTTATTTAGATAAAATATTATTATCTTTTTCCATATCTGTAATTTTGTATGAAGTATAATATTTTACATACTTTATCTTAAAGTTTACTTGCGTTTGACCTTTGTATGGCCATGGATATAAGCTTAAGTCAAACCACACAAAATTTGATATTCTCTTTGATAGTGCTTGATCATCATATTTGCTGTTAGGTTATGAGTTCCTTCTTTCATAATAAGTAGTTTCAGTGCTAGTTTATTAAAAATATGGTGTCCATGAATTTCAAGATTGAAAATTTCGATTGCTCAAAGAGTTTTGATATCTGGAGAACCAAAGTACTTGATATGTTTACCTTCATGAACTTGTAAAGGCAATCTGTGGGGCGCAACAAGATGCTTGAATTCATAAGTGAAGAAGACAAATAGTGGTTGATGAGAAACCTCTCTCAGTGATTCCATTGTATGTGGGTGATGAGATCTTAATAGCGCTCTTAGAGGAAATAACTTTTTGAGGTTTTGAGCTCAATCTATAGACTTTGTATGTGACTAAAAGTTTGTCTGACAACTTTTATCAAAATTAGACAATATTTGATTCCATTGAAAGAATGTATGCGTATTAAAATACATTTGAAGGAATTTAATTTCATCATTAGAATCTTGAGGAATATTGTTGTAATTTTTAATGATGAAGATCAATTTTTATTTGTGGATGTGCTCTACCCCTCCTTAGAAGAACATTTCAGACAGCATATTTTATGATTTTGAAAATTCATTTTTTCATAGAAGATGATTTCTAAGGTCGAGGGAGATGATAAATTAGCTGAAAGCTTATTGTGGATTATAGGAATATGCAATGTGGAATAGTTCTTTTCTAATCATTGTAAAAATAAATCTTAAAATAAGTTTAAAAAGATTACTTGCTTCTATTGTAAGGAAAAAAGGCATATGAATAGAATTATTTGTTTTAAAGAAAAGGGATTGAGAGTATATGACAACCACAAAAGGATAAGTTAGATGATTCAAGTACTATTATCATTTTTTTTATTATGAAATTAGTGTTACTCTTTTTTTGACTTAAGAGTTAAAATAAAAACTGTAAATAATATTGGATTTTGAGTTTGGCATGTTTTAATTGCATATAAGACAAGTTCTAGTTGCCATGTGTAAATAGAAATTGGAGCTGTTGAAGATTGGAGATTCTAATATTGTTGAATTAATGGCGCATGGTGGTGTCATTATGTCAATGGGAATAGCCAGATACGTACCAAATTGAACAAGAATCAAATTTCTTCAAGTGCTTTTAGTGTTGTAGCCTTGTAAGATATATATTTTTTTGGTGATATTGATGCCTTTAAAATCTTTAGGGTGTGCTGGTTGTCCTAAGACAAACAATATTAGTGGATTCTGCATTTTAGAGTATAATATCACATGCTGATGAGTTGCATTGAAGAAGTATGGTGATAGCTTATAGAAGTATGAATGATACTAGGTATGAAATCAAAAACCAGAAAAATAGGAGCTACTGTAAAATTTATTTTTGGTAATTATAGAAGCAATGCAAAATATTTTTTTTTAGGTAGGAGCTTTCAATGAATAGATGGGCTTTGCAAGATAGGCAAAAGTCTAACGTAAAATATCAACACAATACTAAAAGTAAAATTTGACAAATTTGTCACTAATGGATTGTGATATTAAAAAGTTTCAATTAATCTTTGCAATGAATAACATGCATGTGCTAAATAGGTAAGTGTTCAAACACAACTATTAAACTAGTATATTCAAAAGTTATGCTTCAAGTAAGATATTATTAACCGTGGAGTCTAATTCATTAATTATTTTGGATTAGATTTGATTTTTGATTCTTAAAGATTGGTGGCTACCAAATAAAAATTTATCCATATTTAATTTTTCCAGTATAGTGTCTATGTTAGTCATTTCAGATTTTGATTTCCCAGATGATAAGTACCAAATTAAAGGTTTATTAAATTCCGTGTTGTTCCCTATCATATCTAAATATTACATAAGAAGATTGCTGCATTGTTTTGAAAGATTTTATAATATGAAACAACGATGAGAGAGTAGTAAGAAGGGAAATGAGAGCTGTCATCCGAGAGAGAAATGAATATTTTTTTTTTTTTTGAATGCTTGCAAATGGAATTTTTTTTTTGGCATTAAGAAGGATAAAGTGTTATTATTTTTGACATTAGCAGAAGAAGAAACTCCTGATCAAAAGTAAGGAATAGTTCTTATTTAACTCTTACAATAAAGAAGTGAAGTGAGTAATTGGAGCAACACCATCATTCCCTTCTACTTTTATAACCCTCATTTTTATACTTCGTGATTATATTTTCTTTTAACTACATAATATAGTATTTTTATCCATATCTCTAACTTTGCACGTAGTGTAATTTTTTATTTACTTTTTTTGAATTTTAATGAATTTTCTGATTTTTGTGTGGTTGTGAAAATAGGCTTATTTAAGTTTAATTACATAAATTTTGATATTCTCTTTTGTGATGCTTCATCTCTTTTGTAGTTATTTTATGGTTCAGCATTGTCCCTTGGTTGAGTTTATTCTCTTTACTAATAATTACTAATGCAAAATGGAATTTTTGTTGTATGAATGCTGGAAAACTATTCTTATAACAATGGTTTACATTACTTACCAGAAAAGAAACTTTATGGATTTTAGCTTTTAAACCTAATTCATTATTGTAATTATCTTGAAACAATAATTGTATGATATTCCTTAATAGTATTTTTTTTAATCTTTCTAGCCATGTTAGTGTCACACTAGTTTCTTTTTACCGAGGAGCTATAACTTTTGCAACACTTGGATGACAATCTTTAATATGATTTTACGAAATGATTATCCAAATTACATGACAACATGGTACAACAAAAAAAAAAAAAAAATGTTTAATCAAGTCTTGTGACAAAACATATTTGTGTAGTAATTTTTTCGCTACCTTCAACCTCGTCTCCTCTTTAGTTTAATGTTTTAAATTATCTGCAGCCTGCATATTTATCTCACTTCATATGTGTTTCTGAAGCCCATTTTCTTGTCTTAGAGTCGCATTTTCTTGAAGGATATCTATTCTTCAATAGCTTCTCTTGCATGGTGCACTAGTTTAATAATGAGAAAATTAAGATAAGGCTAAATAAAAGTTTTTTGTTGCTATAGTATTTTATATTTAAAAATTTTATTTGGAGCATGAAACATCAAGCTGAATTATTAGCTTCATAACTGTAAGTAGCGGAACTAGACGGAAGAGGACTCCAAGCATGCTGACATAATTGGAGAAGCAAAATTGTAGTTAGAAAGTTTCAATAACCTGGATTTAGTTTTGTTTGATTTAGCAGGATATTTTCTTATTTTTCTTTATTTTTAGGGCCAAAGATATGGTGAAAATTTTCCACATAATGTTTCATTTTATTATTATTATTTTTTTCACCTATGAGGAACTTGATTTTTAATTCTGCAGCTATTCAGCATCTTTAGTGTCTAAGGATCAAATCCCTCCAAATGAGTATGCTTTGAGTATCGCAGGTAAAGAACAAATTCATTGCTTATATCCGCATTAATTTTTTTTCCTTAAGTTGATAGAAGAGGGGCTTAACATGAATTCCTACAATTCACTTATTGAGAATAGATTTAACTGAAGTATGAAACTTTTTTAAATAAATAACAATATCTCATCTTTCCCAGGTACGTTTCAAGTATAAATTGGCCTATAATATGATTGTCGGGATTCTTTTGTTATACCACATATAACTAGTGCAAACATACTCTACCACAAAATCCAAAAAGAAAAAAAACAAAGAAAAAATTTCACCCAAAATTTTCTACCATTTTGAACCACGGCTTCATTATAAGTTTCAATTAAAGATTCTCATAATACTTTGTAAGGTATAGCACTTGTCCTGACTTCTTTTCTTGCCCATCCATCTCCCCTGTTCCATTATGCCATGATGGCCTATGTTTTCTTGGCAGCTGCTGTGTGTTGAGTGGCTTGGAAGCAGCTTTTCATCGAATCATCTATCATTTGGATGGGCAAGGGCAAAAGAATTGGTTAACCCAAACATGATTAGCCCTCTGGTTGATTTAAGTTTTTCACATGCTAGTTTTGTGAGATAAAGGGCTTGGGTGCTATGCTAGTAATTTTTTTGGATCTTGGTTTGGAATATTAATTGGGTTGGTTTTAGGTGGCACACTAGGGAAAGTATCTTATTTTTACCATTTCATCAATTTGGCTGTCGAAAGCTGATCATTTAATTCTGAGATAGAAAATTGCTTCACCAAATTTAGAGATTTCTTATCTAATGAGCATCTTATAATTCAATTTCTTTAGGGTTCAAGCTCAAAGAGACTTCAAGGCTTGGTCCTCGACCTGAGAAACCTATTGAGATTTATGAATTTGAAAGGTAATCCACCTTTTAAGTTAAATAGTGTGTTATTTCAAGTATGTCCTTTCATCCAAATTGATTTAAATTTCATAAGAGATTCATCTTTATGATTACCACAAAACTGACCGGCTGTTTTTCTTGTTCATGGACGGATGGACACACAAAACCATTAGTTGTCCTTTTTGCCGAAAGGTTAGCCATTTTCCTCGCCCCCAGCTGTCTAAGAATTTGTAAGCTTTAGTCCTATATTGTGATTTAACTAATATTTCATCTTGTTTTACTGGTGAACTTTAAGAAAGAGTCATTCAGCTGCTACTTTTTGCTTTGTTCGAGCTTCTCTAATTATTTTGTATTAGGGGCATTTACATAGATAGTACACAATTCTGATGTATTTACATATCTCACACCTAAACTTTCATATTTTCATACATATCACTCAAATCTTTAATATCACATCAAAATAATATTACCCCATTTTAAAAGTGAAATACACCTTTTTCATGCATAGATTTAAAGCACCAATATGTAACGTATGTAAATATGATAGTTTAGGTGTTAGATATATCAATACATAACAATTGTGCTCGGTATGTGAATTTCCCTTTGTATTATCTCTCATTTGCTGGTAACTTCTGAAATTTGCAGGTCAGGGAAATCGTTAGCATATTGGATCTTGACATTTTATTTTACCCTTGTCCAAAAAATGGTCCAAACTTCCGACCGAAGGTGTTGAAAATGGGCGGCAAACAACAATTTCCATACATGGTTTGATCTTGTTCCTTGTCTTTGGCTCTAAATTGCCAATTGTCGTCACACTTTATTTTTTATTAAGTTAAACATTGAAATAACGGGTAGAGCATCAGACAACTTGGAGTAAAATCAGGTTCTTGAAATTTTTTTCTCTTTTTTGTATAAATTCTTACTCAAAACTTTGAATTATACATCATGAATTTGTTTTAAGGTGTTAATCAAGAAGCAAAAGCTTGCCTATCTCGTGAACCAAGTCTCTTATGGCCATGTTTTAATCAGATTTTTCTTTTGGTGTTTGTTGGCGGAATTCCTGCCGAACCAGAGAATATCAGTTTTAAGTTTCAAGTGCATCGAAAAGCTTTTATCTGACCATCCGAGAGGATTGAGAGATATGGTTCAAGCATCCTTTATTCTTTGTAGTATTTTTTTGGTTTTAAAACTTGCAGGACCTTGAGTAGTTGACTTATATAGTCTTTTGTTTTTTCAATTTTCCATTTTGGCTTGCCACATATATTTTATTTTTATTTTTTATTTTTTATCAAGGTCATTCGATTGACAAAACAACTTACTGATAGAAAAATATCAGAAATACCTTTGTAGTTTTCTTCTCTTTCATGTCTTTTGTATTTCGATAGTTTCAATTTTGTTTATAGGTTCCTTCAACAATAAGAGTGGTGTCTGATTTCAGTTCATCGCATATTTGACGTGCTTCCTGCCCCTAGTGAGATTGTTGGTTTAATAATGTAAGAACTCAACCCTTACTTTATTCGACTCACTCTCGTGCGGCCTTACGATCCCCGATCACACAAATCTAGGTGAATTTCTTTCCTTTCTCGCTCATTGCCGCTTTTGTTTAAAACTTTCCTTGTTTTTCCCGTAATTTGCTCATCCTGCTGCCTTTTTTTATCACACGATTCATGCAACTCCTTCCTTTTTTGCTTGACACTTTCCTGATTCATCAAACTCTTGTAAACTGACTTTCTCTCGCACTTGCCTATCAACTCTTTTCGTTACTCAGGGAAGACCGAAGCACACTGCCTGAATAGCGACCTTCTTGTAGCAGCCATCAATCCTCTCTTTTGTAGCTATTGAAGTCTTCCTTTTACTTTCTCCTTGCTTCTCCTAGAAATCTTCTCCCTCTTTTTCTTCCTTGCCTCTAGAGTCATGAGACCTCAGCAAACCCGCTGCCCCTTTTCTTTTGGAAACCCTAACAACAAGTCTTCTGCTCTCCCCTATCTCCTTTTAATACAATTTTATTATTCCATTTATATCCTTTTATAAATATATGTATGTACATATATTTAGATTTGATTATTTCTTTATGTTATTGAATGGACTCTTATATGATACATTTGGTATCCCAATTGTGACTTCCAATGAAACGGTATAACTTGGCATCAGGATTTTCCATGGGAATAGGGAAAG